ACAGGTGATTCATCTTTCCTTCGTACATTTGTTATTTTTAGTTCATGAACTACCGATAAGAAAACATTTCAAAACTTTATCTTTTGATTTAAATAGTTAAATATGGTTGCTAATAAGTTAAATTTTTCAGTTCTGGAAAAAAACAGCGTATTTTGTTTTTTATTTTAGGATGAAAGACTACAAGTTCGGACCAATGAAAAAATAAAAAAAAAATCATCAATGTTAATCGTTCGTTAGTTTTTCTCGTTATTTTTTAATTTACTATTGTTAGTAAACATATTTATGTATGACTAACAACCAAAAATTAATAGGGATGATCAAAAGGTGATAATATATCATTTTTTTAAAGAATTTGATTACAAGCATCAGATATCCACTTTATCAGATATACTCGGTACCAGGATAAATTAATTGTATACAAAATAAACGCGATCTAAATTATCGTTCTGCCGCCCTGATACTTTTTTGTTTCTTTCACAGCAAGTATTTGAAGTTGAGTATATGACACAGTTGATGAACGTGCGGCCTCGTGGCCGCATGTGACCTCCGTGATGTAGCTGCGGCCTCTAAAAGTTTTCGCGCGATATTTATTAATCTATTTTATGGTTTGTTGTCTTTAAAGAATTAATAATTCGTATTTATTACTTTTATTAATCTATAGTTTATTTATTAATTTATTTTATGTTTTTTTTTGTCAATAAAGAATTAATACTTCGTATTTATCAATTTTTTTAACTCTCCTGTTAGCTATGGGAGTAACATACTGTGATAAATGTTTTTTTTCACAGTTGTCGTGGAGTCCTTAATTTGGAGACAAAGCTTGTTATCTGTTTCGTCCAATCTTTGACCTAAAATTATTAATTGGATCTTCACCCTTTCTCCGTAAGCTTTATAAAAAGAATAACAACTGTGGAACTGTTTCTTTTCCTCATATATCACTTGTTTTCTGATCTGATCTTATTATTTTTTTTTTAAGTTTTTTTTTTTTAGTATTCATTATTTTTTTTTCTATCTTACCTATACTCTTCTAGTGCATTGATTATTTTCTAACTAATTGCTAGTGGATGTGCGTAACAGCATTGCCTACAAATAGGTAATATGGTTTTTTTAATGCCTAAGTAAATATGCTAAATTTGGGAAATGAGATTTTCAAGTTATTGGTTGATATATTGTGACCTCAATAAACCATTTTAATCTCATTTTGGTATTTTAAATTCATATATATATATATATATATATATATATATATATATAAAATTCATCCTGATGGATATTTGGTAAGATAGCCGTATATGAGGGATATGTCAGCCTGCTGGAAGCAAGGTGTAACGACCGGGAGGTGGTCTGAAGAACCTAACCTCGGGAATTTAAGGATGTCAATAGTCCTCAAAGTCTGTGCGGCCATCATCCGTGGTTCTAGACCGATTCGTCGCAGTCCTTGAACCCTAACGAGTCGGTGGGGTGGAAAACATCTTGCGTTATGTATGTTAAATACATAAACATAATATATACGTCAAATATAGATATGTTGTGTATCTATATTTCATCAATTTTTGGATGGACTTTCCATTACCAACAACGAAATCATCGTTCTTTACTGACAAATTCCAATTTTTCAGGTGATCCAAAAAAAAAAAAAAAATCATCATATTGTGATATATATGTTTTCTTTTTAACTAGTCCGTACTAACAGGTGATATAATATCGAGCAGAAAAAATTGCTGTTAAAATTTGTATTATTTTTTCTTTTCTTATTATTATTTTTAATTTTGCAATAAATTTAAGCAAAAATAAAATAATAAATTATATAATACAAATATAAAACACTTTGTACATAATTTATATTAAAATATAAATATACATATTTATAAATATAAGTTTTTTTTTTCTATTGAGATAAATTTTCTTGTTTTGTATTACCAACCTAGAGAAAAGAACTCAGCTGGACTTTATCGAAGGTCTATAAATTATTCCTTCTTTTTGCCCTAGATAAATTACTTTTCTCCTTTCTTTGTGCTATTCTTTAGCTAGGAGAATAGGAGGAGGTTTCAAAGGGATGTTATGATCCTGGAAAATTTAGAAATTTGACTTTAATCTCCATACGCAAATACAGTGCTCTTCTATAGGGTGAGTTGTTTGGAATATAGTTATTTAGCATATTTTTGACAATCCACGAATTTGCTTTACCTTATTATTGTAATATATACACGCCGAATCGCTATTTTTTATCCAACATGTTTATTTATATATAACATAATATCTACGATACCATTTGATATTTTATTAGTTTTATGCTAGATATTTGAAACTGAAATATAAAAGACTTTTCCAAAACTCTTAGTATTCATTTGAAATTTAATAACGATTTTTGAATCAGTTTCATTTTTCTTTTTATATATTTTAGTGCAATTCTCATATATTTTTGCTGTTTTTACAATATTTTTTTTTTATACTCTAATAAGTGAGAACTCCTTTTTCTTGCTTACATTTTCAGACAAATCACCGGGCGAGAAAAGATATATTTGTTACGAAGTTATAACTTTGTCTATCCATCGTTAAATTTCGTTATCCATTTTTTGTGGAATAGGAATGAGAAAATTAGCTTTCCCTTTGGTTGGTCGCTATTCGATATTATTTATTCAGTGATGCAGTCGAACTGCGGAAAAGAATTGTGAATCGTCCTAATCAAGGCTTTAGAAGTTTTTTATGGTCAATAATTTATTCATCATTATTGCCACCGCCAGACTGTTTACTTATTAAAGGGCTAACTTAAAAAAGTACGATTGGGTTTAAACATATTAGCTATTACAAGATCATCGTACCGTTTTGAGGTATTGGAATCGTCGTTTCTACCATTTTCTGAACATTCGAATGTGTATCTTAATCAGGATTTCCACATGAAAAATTTCTCTTTTTAGGTAAATTTCGAGGTTGGAATGGATGAATTTCAAAGGAAACAATATTTATCAGTCAAAGATAAACTGAGTAGAGTTTAATCTATTTTTTAATAGACAATATATAATATAAGTAAAACATATTAGTGGTTAGCACGCCATACTAGTAAAGTAGTCCCGGATCGAATCTACTTCTCAATACGGCTGGAACCCGCGGGAAAGTGAACCATTACCCTCTTAATTAGGCCTACAGGTTGCAAAATGTAAGAACAGGTTAAAAAAACAAAAAACAAAAAAAAACATACATAAAACGAGTAGTTAGTTATGTATCATATTGCACATATAATTATTACCTATTATTTTATATATATTTTGTCGGAAGGGATTTTTATTTCATTCTGAGGGAAAATCTGACCAAAAGGGAAATGAAAAAAAGTTATGTAATGAGGGTTCTGAAGATCTGATTTATGCATTTAATTTTAATATATATATATATATATATATATATATATATATATATATATATATATATATATATATTTATCATTATTATTTATGAGGTTTACAACTGTACATTTAATATACATTCAGCAACTGTGATGGAGATAAATAAATGACATGACAAGGCTTGTAGAGAATTTACTCATTGGTAGCACTCTAATAAAGTTGCTAAATTACGAGATCACGAGGCCATCTTCTTTTCAGACGCCAAGGAGGGTTATCAGGAATCGAGGAGGAAGCAAGGTTAGAAACGAGAGGATTAGGATGGTTCTGAAGTTTATTATGAAAGGGTAGGTATCTGGATTGGACCAAATCGTAAACATATGGATTATTCAGGTCATTATGGATTATTTTATTTGTGACAAAGTAAGGAGCTTTAATGATTTTGGATTTTGGTAAAGACTGGATATGATAGGAATTCGATGCTTTAGTGGAGCCCCAAAGCTCAACTCCGAAAGTCCAAATAGGTCTTATTGTAGTCATTTATATGAGTCTTTTGTAATTAATTGAAAGGTTAGAGCGTTTGTCTTGTAAGTGTTGAAGTCGGAAACGTCGAGCGGTTTCTTGTCGTTTCAGTCTGGTATGAGAATTTTAATATATTGAAATCGCATAAGAGAAAGTCTTCAATTTGTTCATTTAGTCATTTTGTATTATTATTTTCTGTTTCTGTTCGTGTTAATTAAAATTTATAATTCAAGTTGGAGAATGATATAATAGGAATATAATATAATAGATGTTTATATGGAAAATTCTAACTTTCTCGAAGAGTAGCTCGAAAGTCTGATTAACGTTGACCGTTGTATAAAGTTTGTTTTCAAAGTTTTATATCTGCCTGACAATTTCGTTTCCGGCTTACTCACACACGACTTGCTGTCCACTCGTTCTTCGTAGAGGAACAATATTTAGCACCGCTCGTACCATTGCGCGATAAACAACACCTCATTTAACTTACGAATCTAGCAACTATACAACAAAATACTGAGAGCAATTCGAACATGCGGAGAAGAACTTAGAAATTTCGCACATATAAGCCACCTAAATCCGTCACTCACCTTACCCACCTTTAAATTCTTCCTATTCAATCACTTCAAATCCATTCACTTCCCGAACAATTATAAATAGCTTTCCTGTAACTATGTATATAAATTATTAGTTTATAGATTTGTTTTTAATTATTATTTTTTTCTTTTAATTAGAAGTTAACTTATAATGTTTTAATACTTCTATTTCATTTTATTATTTTTTTAAAAATAAAACACTGAGGTTCCATAGCCTACAATTGTATCATTTTGTATTATTCTAAAAGGTCTTGTCCCAGAATAAATAAGGCAGATTATTATTATAAACAAATTACATACAACACAATCGGATATTGTTAAAGTACCATGGAATATTTCAATTGACTCTATACGTAACTATAACAAATTCGCTGAAAATAATCAGTTACATCAAATTTGTTAGATGCGTTGCTAGGCAGTTTCAAATGCAGTAAAGAAATAGAGTACTGACAAGAAAGTAAGAAGTATTGAAAATATAGAATTTTATACCTTGATCCTTTGAAACAATTCTATTTTCCTCGTAACGCCACCTATCGTTTTCACTTTCATGACCCTTCAATTGGAACAGCAGACTAGTTCAGTGACTTTGGGTTTTTGGTACAATAGTTTTAGATACTCAACTGTAATAGTTTTAGATACTTACCCGAATTGTTATATAAATGCGGTTTATAGGCTCATAGGTACATTCTTTCGTACAAGAGGTTACGAAGCTATTCTAGCCACAATGTTGGAGGTTTATTACATGTTATCATAACCGAATAATAATAATCGTTTTCAAATCAGCCTGCTTCAGTCTAGGTAAATCCTATTAATAAGATTTTATGATGTGTTTGTTTTACCTAATTTTCATAAGTTAAAATAAGTTGTTTCTACTTGGTACTGTAAATATATTTTCGTAGATGTATATTTCCAATAAGACTTCTGCTCGATTATTTAGTATCAAATATTTTGTATTATTTTTTTTTTTACGATCTATAAAATACATATATATATTTTTTTTTTAGAAATTTAAATTACTTCGTTGATGGTGTAGAACATTTGTTGCAGGGATTGACTTTTTTACTATGGAGGTTTAGCAACTGTTATTTCAATTTAAAACAATGCTTTGACCGAAATTCCACTGTGGGTTTTGTTGGTGATAATTCGCGTATAATTTTAATTAAATTTATTTGAAAGTATCTGAATTCACTTTTGAATCCCCTATATGTCCCTATTGTGTGGTTCATTCCAATGACAGGAATACTATAATTTATTCCTTTTTAAATGTTTCTATTTACTATAAGTCAGATTGAAACAGTACGAACGTCACAGAATCACTAAGAGATTGATTAAAAAAGTTTTGGTACTTTATTTACAATTCATTTTTTATTATTTATCATATTGTTTTTTAACCGTTTTCATTAAATAATCAATAAATTAACCGGCTATTAATATTTAATGGTGTCTGGAATGTTTTACAAAAAATATCAATTGAAGTTAATTTATTGTAGAAATTTTAAACACTATTAAATTTCTATCAAATATATAATAATATATTATTTTAAACATTACTACAAAATATGATTTTCATTATTAACAATATTTAAATTTAATATTTTAATCCCAACCATTATTACCGACCAAATGATCTTATTATAATTTAACCATATGTTCTCTATTGTTTAAAATTGTTCGACGACTAAAAATGTCTAATCCAAATTCACATCTTTGGTTCACTTAAATTAATGCTCTTTCATTCAAAATTGTACAATAATGGAAACAGAAGAACCGCTGACTATTTGTGGAACATGTGGCGGCCGAAAGCGCAGTAAGCGGCGCTCGAGGTGTGGGTCCTCCAGACGGAGGAAGAGTAGTAGGAGGAGACGCTGCGGCAAAAGAACTAGCAGAAGGAGGAGTAGAAGGAGAAGCAAGAGGAGGCGTTGCGGCGGAAGCAGAAGGAGGAAGAGGAGCAGCAGGAGGCGTTGCGGCGGAAGAAGTAGAAGGAGGAGCAGGAGGAGGAGTAGCAGGAGGAGACGCTGCGGCGGAAGAAGTAGAAGGAGGAGCAGGAGGAGGAGGTCTTCCCGTATCTCGAGGTGCTCCACCGAAGTGGAGCTTGCGGCCCCCATCGACTCGACGTCCATTGCCTCTCCGGATCAGACAATCTCGCGCCTCATTTGATGTCCAAGTATGTCTTGTAATGTCGTATAAATCAACCGTAAATGAATAAATCTTGATTCATCGATAACCTTGTTTTGATTATTATACCGTTGCCAAATTTAACTTGAAGTTTTAATTTCATAATTTATTTCATTAAGGCTTTTAACATTTTATTTTTAAATTTATTTTGATCTTGTTTTTCTTTTTTTTTTTTCCGTTCCATGTGTATTTTTACTTTTCATCATGGGATGATAAATTTAAATGGTGTATGTTTTGAGATGTAAGTATAGTTTAATTTTATTTATTTTATGTTTGAGTAATTAATAGGCAAACGATGGGTACCAATAGTAGAACTAGAAATATAAAGTTATGATGAAATTACAATGATAATCTTACAGTATTTATTACTAATATTTTCTTCCAAGTAAACTTTTTAGTCATGAGCTTTGTTTTAATCTAAAGTTTACTTTATTCATTTGGGATATATTTTAACTTTAAAAAGTAAGATCATGTCTGTACGTTAAAAAAAAAATGAAATTAAAAAACTGGACATTTTTATGGAAATTAACAAAATGAAATGTATTTTACAACAATTGCATTTTCAGTCAAAAATTTGTTTCGATAGTTTTATTAGATGTTTACAAAATTTTTATGTTTACATGTTTACAAAATAAATTGACGTAAAGGTAAAGTGCAACGGTTAGAGGTGCTGGTAAAGAACTAAGGACCTGCTGCATTCAATCATTATTGTGAAGGTTATGTTTTAGTTTCTTTCACAAGTTTATCATCATCTAACTATACTGCAGGTACCCCACTTTTAGGAAAACTTCCTCATTCAATAAGTATAAGTTTCTGGATTCTCTCTTACTTAGGAAACCTTTCTTGTCGGCATTAAGCATCTTCTTGCGCACTCCCTCTCCTGTATTGCTTTCTCGATCCAGTAATTTCCATTTGGGTAGATACTTGAATTATAATTTTACTTTCGATCCTCATCGCCGGTACCATTGTACATGTGTCACTCCAATTCGACAAGTTTGCTAAGATCTCATGATCATGCTATATATACGATTCCGAAAATAGCCGAGGAACGACAACGTGTTCCACAGTATAACCTTTCTTTATTTAGATCGTGATTCACGACTTCGACAAACTCTTAGCTGGTTCTTTTCAGTTAAAATGGTGGCTAACTTTCGGTTAACTTAACCTTTCAGTTAATTATATCTTTGCTTTCGGCACTCGCTCGCTACGCTCGCTCTAATGGGACAAACAAACCCTCAAGAGGTCCTTTTCAGTTGAGTTCGAGGCCTTACCAGACGATTCGGTCATTTCCGCCTACTTTCGGAGACACTCGCCCATTCTTCATTTATGTTGTGATCATATCTTGTTCCACCTATCAAAGTGGAGTTACACTTGTACAGTATTATGATTTCTTCTTTTGTTTCCAATAGTTACTGAATTGTGTTCAAAACCGAACAAGCAGACCAAGCTGATTATTAATTTCTGTATAAGATAGCTAAGTTCTGATGATTTGCTTTTATCTTTTCAGGACATTATCGACAACATATTTAGCTAAAATTGGACTCAGAATGTTCCCTAAATAATTTCGTTCATTTACCCCAAGAGCTACAGCATAAATAATGTTGTAAAAAAATTTTCAACAGAAAAGTAGAAAATCCAAGTTTTGTGGGTTTTTAAGTCCAGTTTTTTGTCGAATACTAAGCGATAACTCAAGCAATATTTAATTTAAGTAATTAACTATAGCTTCCCTGTAAACTAGACAAAATTCAAATGTAAATAGAATTGAAAAATATTAAAAAAATATAAATTATTAAACTAAACTGCAGGTACCCCACTTTTAGGAAAACTTCCTCATTCAATAAGCTTTAAGTTTTTATTAATTAAGTGGAGGTTTATTAGGCAAAAACCTGAGATTCGCCTCATGTTATGTAAAGAAATGATGCGGTTTTTTTTTTATCCAGTCTCCTAAAAGTACGCGTGTTTTCATAAAAAAATTATTACAATTAACTGTTGCAAAGTTTTTATTACTTATTTTTCCATGGTTTGGAATGTATTGTAATAAACATGATTGCCTAAATATACTTTTTATTTATGAAAATAAAAAAAAGATTTAAAGTAATGTTTTTAAAAATATTTTTCATGTAAGGTGGTTATGAAACTTTGTTTTTGTTCCCAGATAGATATTATATATAATCTATTGTAGGAATTGACTCCTATTTTTAAGTGACAAACTTAATGTTTCTGACTTAAATTTTATGATATTAAAATAACGAAACATGCTGATGGCTTCAATTTTATTCAAGAATATGTAAATAATTGAGCTACAAACATTAAGTTTGTCTGACATTAATTTACAGAACTGGGAGAAAAACAAAGTTTCATAACTACTTTACATGAAAAATCATTATTTAAAATTTTTTTTTAATAAATAAAAAGTGTATTTAGGCAATTATTTTTATTATTATACACCTAATATGATGGAAAAAAACAAAAAATAAAATCATTGCAATAATTCATTGTAATCATTGTTGCTGAAAATACAGGTACTTTTAGGTGCCATGATATAAAATCACACCATTTTTTTACACGATTTCAGGTGAAACTCAAGTTTTTGCCTAATAGAGAGAGAAATACTATATTTATTTAAAGCCGTGCTGCCCTACTGTATAGGGTTGCTCGATACACAGCATAATCATCAATCCTTTTTTTTTTTTTTTTTTGGACATAGCACTTAATTATACTTAATGATATGTTTATATATATACAAATTCTTTTTCATATTGCACAGCACAAACAATATCAATACTATAATATACTAATACATACAATTACAATTATACAATGTATTATATACACATATTTCGGTTAAAAAAAAAAAAAAAATTATTCAAATGCTTAAGTTTTAACACCAGAAAATTAGAACGCACACACAGCAAGTAACATAGTCTTATGAACATAGACAAAACTTGGATTTTCCGCTGAAAATTGGCCCAATATTTATGTTGTAGCTCTAGAGTTCTATTATCAACTCCTAAATGACAACTAGTAGTATTTATTTTATTTAATAACGGAACGAAATAAATTTTATTTCCTCGTTTCCCTCTCGAAGATCACACCGCCCAAGTTATCTGATAATTTCATCACACAAGTTGCCCGATTCAATGTCCCATTATAACGAAACCTGCCCTTAGGCGTCGCTCGATAAACCTCGTCTAAATCAGCAGAATATCTCGTTAGGTCAAAAGACATTTTGAGACACTCGAATCAATATATATACATTATACATTGATGATGTTTAAAACTATGTTTTACAAAATCTATGTCAATATTTAAATACAATGTATGATTTTTATACCAATGCTGGTGATGAATATTAAGTACATTCTTCTGCTTTTGTGAATTTTAGTGTTAGATTTTTGTATTCAATTTTATTTATTTATTTTCTCTCTAGATCGATATCGTTTTTCTAGGATAATGGTACATTCAAATTTGTAAGGATTTCCATTATGGATGGGTATCTATTTCGTATTTTTATTTGGTACGTGCAGAGCGTTGTTGATTTTAAATTGTTTGAGTTGGATCAAAATCATGGTTCTATGCGAAATTTT